GACAGACAATGAACTATGGGTCTCTTCATCTGAGGTTAATTGGAGTCTCTGCACCTTTCCTTAAATTAAAGAAATGCCCTGAGGAAATTGATGCACTACATGTGTCTCAAGAACTTTACATGAAATTTAAGGTGGAACGGAGAAAGGAAAGAAAAGTGCTAAGTGGTGACCTCATCAGAGAAACAGAGCAGTGCATACCAGGTGTGTGTGTTCCATGGATGCTTTCCAGGGCAAAGCAGAAACACTTCCACTCTCAGCAGTTTCTAATTCCTGAAGTATCTGAGAATATCCACATTTTAGATCCAGTAGGACTAGAATACTTTCTAGTTCTGCAGACCAAGTTAGTCAGTAATGAAAAATACTGATTTTGCAGTCAGAAAAGTCTGCTCACTTGTGGCTGAGAAAACAGAGGGCCATCACAAGTTTGTGCAATAGGATAAAGGAGCAGCCTCCTGCCCCAGCACTTGCCTGGATCAACAAATAATGGGTCATATGAAAAGAAAAGCCTTTTTTGAAAGGATAGCTCTGAAACAGAAGGGCTTGAGGCTTAATTCATCCCTTCTTGCTCCTGGGTAGAGGAAGGTCAGCATGAACTCTTCCCCCTGCCTTCATGACTCATGGTCTACCTGTGGAGAATCCATAACATTGTCTGCACGTACCTTAAAAAGGGGAATGGCTGCGTGATTTAGGACCCACTATGGACCATGGGGAAAAACATGGGGCCTTGTGGTTGACAGGGATGAGAGAGAACAATGCCTGTGGAACTACAGGAGCCAACCCTAAGGATTGAGTTTGCCATCTTCTCTGGAGGTTTTCAGGTTCTCTGGGTGTTTTCAGGTTCTCTCTCTTCTCTGGTTTTTTGTTTGTTTGTTTGTTTTCTTTTTTTTTTTTGATCAATGACTGCAGAGCCAAAATCCTTGAGTAAATACTGAGTAACCACTGTGAGTGAATAGGGCTCACACATCTGGTGTAATCTCCTCCTGCTTGCTCTGTCAAATTCCATCCATATGTCGTTTTCTTGAAAACATGCAAGATGGGAAAGTAGTAATCTGTGGTTGTAGGACATAAACCTGTAGGTGTAGGACATGGGTTTCCGTTGCTTTTAGAATTCCTTGTTTCTTCTAAAGTTAACTCTGAGCCTCCTTGGCCATAATAAATGCAAATAAAACCTGATTTTCTTACACAAGCAGGAGTATTTTCAGTTTGCTCTTTTAGGATAGTTATAGTTTATGTTGGGTCCTGGAGTCAATAATGACTTCACAGGCGTTCTTACCAAAAAAAGACATTTTATTTTCAGATGTAAAGCTGAAGTGTAGGAAGACTTCCCACACTAAAGTCACAGTGCCTCTCTCAGTATCATAAGGCAAGACATCATTCTGGTAAGTCAGCTGTACTTGGAGCTACACCATATTGGAATCCCTGGGACAAGCTAGGCTAAATCCACTAGTTTTTACTCAGGGTTTGGGTACAACAAATTCTAGACGTGTTTCAGAGCCAAACTGACATACTGCTTGTAATCAAAACCAACTAACCAACACCACTCACAAAAACCAAATGAGGAAAGATTTAGATTTCTGATGGGAGTACCACTGAATGGATCCTATACAGTTGCAAACACTTGTGCCACTTGGCTGCAGAAGGCCTGGTTGCTCAATGCAATTGAAGATCTTCAGTCAGAGATATGACCTCCAGCTAATAATGGACGTCCTTGGGGCATCTCATCAGATCTGATGTATTCTTTGTATTTTTGGAAAATATGTACTGGATCAGGTGAGAGGCAAAGCCTTTAAATAACCCTGCAAATCTGAGGCATCGAAGAAGCACTTTTAAAACATCTTTGGGAAAAGAAACAACATCCTTTGAAGTGGAGGCAGGTTGGATTTCAGAATGAAGCAGCTTTGCAGATTTATGCACCTGCTTAATTAGGGGATGAATGTGAAATCCTTAAACTTAAAAGGCTTTTATAAGGTAGCACTTCAGAGAACAAGCATTGCTTTAGCATCGACACAGAAGAGCTGTTGGCTATTATCTTTGGAGATGGGTCAAAACCGAATATATTAGCAAAAAGTACTCTCCATAGATGGTGAAATGAGCTGTATGCAATTCCCAGATCTCAAACAGGAAGTATTTTGAAAAAAAATCAAAGAAAGCTGGAATTACGGATGCTTTAGGAGGCAACGCTCAAACCATCATGCCAATAGAAAAAAAAATGAGTAAGGAAAAAGTAGGTAGGTAGACAGCAGGTACAGAATCATGTAAACATAATAAAAGAAGAATTTGTTCATTATACTACTGTGGTTCAGTGGTCTGTCCTATAATTTTCATTCAAACCATTTGGGAATACTATAAGAGTTGCTCCTAAATACCACCAAAACAAGAAATAAAAGAGAAAAAACAGTAAATGTCTTTCCCACCAACTTCTAAGCAGGAAAGAAACAGCTGTTTTGACAGAGCAGTGAAGAGAAGCTCATGAAAATTAGCTTCAAGAAATGCTTATAAGAGCAAAGGTCTCTCCTGAGTTAATTTAGATAGAGGCACAACCACAATAATCAGCATTTGACAAAAAAACACCCAAAGAAGAAAAACCACAAGGTTCTAACTAACAAGTGATGAGAATATTAAGTTAACATCAGGGAGTTTCCTTTTGCTAGTACAGTGGCCTATAAGAAGACAGAGAAGTACTGTGCTCCCAACCAAAATCAGGGGAGAGGCTTTTAATATGGCACAGTTATTGCAAGACCTTAGTCAATGGAGAACTTGAATCTCATTGTTTATGTAGGAATGGAAGTTCGGTGAAAAAGTCCTACCTGTTGAGGGCAGTGTGCTGGCCTTTACCCAGGAGACTGCTACAAGCATTGCATCTCTTCAGTGATATTAAGAGCTCCCAGGAGAGCAGATAGGCACTGTACATCTCACTGTGTTTATTACAAGAAAGAAAAGGAGAGCAAGAAAGTAATGACCAAAATATTACAAGTTCCTCAGCAGTTCTCAAAGTCTGCACTCTTTATTCAAAGCATCATCTGACCAGATTAAAATTTCATAGGCTTTGTAACTTACATCACAGATGATGGAAAACATTCAGAAAAAAAAGAAAAATTTTAACAGATGACAATAATCAATTTTCTGCTGTGGATTACTTGTTTTTATTCCCAATCACAGTTCACTGTCTTTTACAAAACAGGCTGTTTAGCTTTTCAGTGTAGCCTTGTTCTTCTTCTAAGACATTGTTTTCAGACTGTTTTTTTAAACTGCCTTTATTGTATCCAATGCTGAAAACAAACTGAAGAAAATTGACAAATTTATTCAATAAAAATATAAGCAGATATACGGCAAATAAAGGACGTGCTTGGGAAATAGAACTATGTGTTAGAGCTTGTGTACAGCTTAGGGCAAAACCAATCTATTTTGCAACTTAAAATACCCAAGATGCAACTAATGTAAGATACAAATGGAGCAGCCTATTATTTCCTGTAAAATAAAATGAACTAAAACAGACTAGGAGGTCATAAACTAGTTATTTAAAAAGCTAAATGGCAAAGCAGATCTTTTACTAGAATTTCTATCCCAGTGCACTGTAAACATTCATACTGTATTTGTTCTGATACCAAAGTACAGTAAGAAGTTGTTTTATGCAAGGTTAAGTATACTACCTTCCATTTTTATTCTAATATGGCTCCATATTGGAGTGTTTTGGGAGTAGGTTTCAACTCTATTGTTCATACCTAATGCAAAAGCTCAAATACGTGAATTAAATGCACTTTCTCATTTTTCAATGAGACCCCCACCGAATGTCTTACTGCTTTCTTCACTGCTTTGGGCACTTGTGAACAACTTTTGCATATAAATGATTTGTCATCTGTGAACTACAAACTGTAGCTTTCTCAAGTCCCCAAAAAGAGCTAAGGAGTAGACATACTCTTTCATAACAAGCAGGCAAACTCTGACATAGGCACCAAAACCAACCCCGCTCAGGGGATTCTGTGTCTTTGTGAGGCCCAACATCCCCCTTTGGTTTCCTTCCAAGTTGGATATTTAGCATAATATAAAATAGTTTGTTTCTGCTCAGGAGGAAATTTTATTTCTTCTCTATAGAATATCAGGCTACAGTAACTCACAAATTGTCCTTTTGCTAATCTGGAAACTCACAGGTAATTTGACCTGGAACTGAACCCAAAGATACACAGGCTCTGAGGTAGAACACAGCTGCTTGCTCTGTAAGCTCCTCTAAAAACATCAAAGCCACCATCAGTCCTCTCAACTGAGTCTCTCTTAGTTTTTGAGGCCAGTTTAAGACCTGGATTCTATATCTTATCATGAAGCAGAAAAATCAGACTTGATCTGCCTCAAGACCTGATCTGTATCAGCAAACCTCCTCTAAGAAAGAATTTCTACCCTAGGAGATACTCGCAGAATGAACATCTCCTTGTAGTCCCTGTTACAAGGTGTGGAACCAGCTGCTTCTGGATAAGGGCCTTGCTGTGCCTTTGGAAAGGGAAACTGCCAGAAGACTTAAGGCATCCCATGTGTCACAGGTTTGCTTTTCAGGTGTGACAATACCACCCGATCAGTGGCCGGGGCAATGTAAAACTGCAAGGAAAATTTTGTAATCACTGCAGATACACTTGATTTTTCTGCATCTGGAAAAAGATGGGCAGAAATTTGCATTCTTGGGCTAGATAATATGCTGTGGTAAATGTTCCTCATTGAGCTGAAAACGAAGGAGCTAACACTGATTCACAGGAGCTGAGGATCTGCTGCAACATTTCATACCCTAAGAAAAGTCTCTTATTTTGATTTCCCAATCTAATATGTGTGGAGGTTGTAAATATTTTATATTGTTTGAGAGTTTTTTATTATTTGTTTTTTATTATTGTTTGAGAGTTTTTTCAGTTCTCCTTTTTAGAAAGATCAAGTCATCTTCCTCAGTATTCTGTGCATTTAAATAGAAAATTACCACTTACTTAGGAGCTTGCTTACAGATTCACCTACAGAAACTTACAGATTGAAGCAATCTGGTTTAATTTCCACAAGTTTAATACAGCACCCTCAACATTCCAGCACAGCAATACTTCTGATAACCTGATTAGTAAAACTGTATATGCATTTATAGAAATGTGAAAGTTACACTAAGATCTATATTCTTGAAGTCTCATTGCTTTCCTTTCTCATTACTGAATAAAACAGGCTACAAATCTGGGATATTGTACTTAATTATGGGAAAGAAGTATCAGACTACTTTTATTTTAACTGTATTAAAAATGGCAGTAACTACTCTAGGTGCAATAGCCTAAAAGCCTAGCTTAGCTCATAAACCCAGAAGACGTATGAAAACACACTTCCCCTGAAAAGGAATTTTTACAACTGTGTATTTACAAGGAGTTCGCAAAACTAGCAATGCATTCTTTTTTCAGATGAAGTGTCCATAGCCTGTAGAATAATTCAAACAGGTGCTAATTAGGTGTACAGAAAGGCCACTGAGAATAATTTATATGTCCCCCTGCAACAGAAAAAAACCCTGAATAAATGTTAATTGCTTATATTATGCAACGAATTATTTTAAGATGGCACTAAATTAGCTGCAAATATAATTACAAAGTACTGGGTAATTTACTAAAGATTAATTGAAATGATTAAGTGCAAACGGTATAATTTTGCAAGGTAGTATTAATATTTTGTGCACAGAAAAAAAAAAGACCAATGTGGTTGTTAGAGGGTATTTAATGAAGTAATTCATGCACATCATGAAAGCATGAGTGGCCTCTCTTTGATGTGCCCTTCTCTCAAAGGGGTATGACATGATTTCTATGGGGGGAAATCCATCTAGTGTTGATAATGAGAATTACCAATTTTTAAATGCAGGATCCTTTTCTGAGTTTATTCTCTATTTATTACAATCTCTTGGCTAGTATTTATTTTTTGGTGGCTTAATATTTAATACAATTTAATTGTAGTTATCTAGAGAGTGACAGTGGAAACAAGAAGAGAATTCGGTACTGGGAATAATTGTAGACTTCTGAGGAAATGGGAAGAAGACCTTCTTGTGTTCTTTTTGACTAGCACATGTCTGAGCAATAATGACATTGACTCTAAGATGTTTCAGTTTTCATTAACACAAAGGCCATATGCCATTGCAAGAAGCACTAGAGCAGTGAAATGCTATAAAATGAAAATAAATGCCCCAGATGTTTGGCCAGTCGTAACACTAAGCACTTACGGTGCTGTGATGCTCAATGTGCAGGACTCAACTTCTACAGAGTTGAGTCTAGCCACGTCCAGAGACATGGGGAAAACATCTCTATCAATTAATTCCCACTTGAAAAAAAATGGGTAGAGTACTTATTGATTTTCAATAAAAGGTTGAAATCCCACTGACACCATGCGAGTTAGGAAATTTCAACTGTAATTTCAGCTTAAACCTCAAATTTTGTTTAATGTGAAGAGTCCATTTCAGGAACATAGGAACTTTCTGGATTTTTGTCCTACTCAGTATCTTACTTCAATATGTGTTTCATCCCCTTTCACTTGAACACATCTTGCTTAACACTAATAGTGTGCAATACTGAATAAGAATAGCTCAGCAAATCTGGGCAAAAAGGTTCAATTAACATTAAAATCAAGTCTGTGCACAACATCCATTAGGACAATATTGAGAAGACTCATACAGAATTAGGGAGTCAAATTTAAAATTATGATACACGTTGCAGTCTTGGTATCAAAAGAAAATAGGGATACATTAAATACAGATCTGATTTAAGAGATCAGAAAGATGTGAATCTCACAGGCAGATTCCCATACACAGAGCCTCTGAAGCCAATGCAGCTGGACAGTATTACTTGTGTTGCCCTTATCAAGCTCTGACAGACATTTGCACCTCAAAAGGCTCATTACTGCAAGATCAGAATCACAGTTCCTCATGCAATGACAAAGTACCTGGGGCGCCAGAAAACAGGGCATAACACTGGCAGTGTGCAAGGCAGAAAAAAATGCAAGGTTGAAAAGGAGAGGCCAGACTGTGTAAAGCATCTAAATTGCAAAATCCAGTCCAGTTCCTAGCAGGTGTCTGTGGAGTTGCCTGAAAGTGCAAGCTCTAGATTCTGTGTTGCTCTTTGCCTGGCCAGTCTCCATGAGCTGATTTGGAGAGGTGTAAAAGCCACTTGAAATCAGCTGAGAACACCTGTCTCAGGGCCTCCGAGAAGGCAGCTGGACGTGGCCATGCACTGGCCCCTGCAGCCACCCACATCTCTGACCACCCAGATTCACTCTTCCCTCACACTTCCACAGCCAGGAAGGGGACTAGTGACACACAGACCTTCTGAACCTCTTACAGGAACCTGGTGTAACACAGAGCCCCAGGAGCAGTGAAACACTAAGAACTGACACTACAACAGTTTCGTCTGATCTGGTAAGAAGCCTCCACCGCTACCAACAGAAAATTGCAGATTGATTTTACTCACAAATGTATGACAGCAGTTACCGTCCAATGCCGGCATTCACAAATGTGGGCACAGCAAAATATTAAAAGGAAGCCATAGCAAAACAATAAACAATCAAAAATACAACTCATAACTGTTAGGCAAGGCTACAGCAATGCTCTTAGACTGGTACCTTCTTTTACGCTGAGATGACATAAACAAGTTGAAAAATATTTTGAATTTCAACCTTTGTAATTGCATCATAATTACAGTGTTCTGGATAACAAAATAAGGTTTTGTAAACCAAGTATCTTATTCATCTGAAAAGGAATACGTCCTTTATCTGACACGGACAGTTGGTTTTGCCTTTCCTGGTATAGATGCCTTGTTTGATGGAAAACATTCATTTTAAATATGTAAATGCAACTGATCCTGGGGAAAAAAAATTACCATTTCTACAATTAGTAGAAATACACTGCATTGCCCTTAAAAACTGCACCATTTTTGATACAAATTATGAACATATTTCATGCTGGTTTGACCAGTACTCTTCTTACAATGTAAAATGTATTAATGTGAAATGTATTAATTGATGTGGAGTCCTCTTTCCTCATTCTGCAACATTTTGTGTCTATTAAAACATTGGTTGAGTCCAAAGAAACGAGTTGATTCTCTCTCATCCCAAGGTATGAACCTGTTCTGTTTTGTTACAGAAACTTTAAAAGGGCTCTCTTGTTTAGCTTGAGGTGAGCGCTACATCACACAAATACTTGCCAGCCAACCTCCAAATTCAAACACTTGATTTTTCAGAGGTTTCTGGTTGGCAAGATTATGACATTTAGCAGCAACAAATGGGTTGTGTTATTCCATCCATTACTCCTGAAGGGTTTCTGCAGCTCCCTCTGCTGCAGATGAACATGAGTGGGATCACCACTCAAAATCTTTCACAGAACACACCTCAGAAAGACACTTAACTCTGGGTATTCAAGTTCCCTCTCTGAAGGTGAGAAAAACTGAAAACTCTAAGCTGCACAGCTGAAATCTGGCAGGATCAGAGCCCAGCCCTGAAACCTCTGTCCATAGGAATTCTGACAGTGTGCAAATGTGGGTGCACCTGCTTGAATGGTGACTGAGCATCTCAAGTGTGAGAAAACTAAATTAGGAGTCAGGTTCACAAGCATCAGACATGAATTGCTCCAGTGAAACCACAGTGGTTGGTGTTACCCCAGGAGCAGGTGGTGTCAGCACCTGAAGAACATCTCTGTGTGTACACAGGGCAGCCTCTCCACCAATAGCCATCACAACACACTCTTTAGGACTGCAAGGCATTACAGAGTTCTGTCACTGTACAAATGACACAACTTGCACACCTCCTCAGGTACCATAGCACTTTTCCAAAGGGTACTGAAAACGAATACAAGAAGCAGCATATTTAATTATGGTTCCATGGACTGGTGCAGCTCACAAACTCTGGAAAACACAGGACAGCCATTTCATTACTTTTGGGAAAACTGATTTTCACTGATCTGACTGGGAAGCCCTGATTAGAGATAGTAATATCCTTATCATTTTGAAAAATCAGAATTAAAATACAAAATACTTCATGTTAATGCAAGTACCTTTTCCATTTTATCTACTTGTTTCAACATTAAAATGCAATTATCTTTTAGAAAACTGAGCTGCTGCCGCTTTAGAGAAGCTGCCTTCGCAGCTGGGTGTGTCCATGGTTCTGATCATACCTTTACATCGGCAAATATGATCTAAGAGCCCAAATTAGAAATTGGACTCAAGCCCCACCTTTGCAAATGTAACTAGACAAGTTTACTAATACTGTCTGAAAACAAAGTGTAGTGAGCCTTTGTTCATCTATTCTATTCTTATTCTGAATTATCGCCACTTTGTAATAACATCCAGCAGCAGCACTGGCACACGGCATCTTCTTTAAGTCAGGCTTTTATAATCAAAGTTGTCAATAAAAAGCCTGAAGCTGGTTAGTAAGATACAGGGTTCTTCTTTTGAGTAATGTCAGTGACTGTGTAACTCCAAGTATCAAAGAGATGTTTTACAAAAAAACAAAGGCAAGTGTTTTACATCAAATCTTACAAAACTGTACATAATAATAGTCTGCAACATGAAAATGGCCATTAAACTGTTGTAATAGTTATGAAATGTAGTAAGTGTAACAATTAGAATGTTTCATATATTTATCATATTAATCACTGTATTCAACAGTTGTGTTTGTATACATATATTCAATGGCACTGTAAACACTTGTTGGAAAACACACATTAACTCTTAACCCATTAGAAGTTATTATAGTACTTTTTCATCCAAAAACTTAAAACACATCAATGTATCATTGATTAAAAAACAAAGCCTTGTAATATAATAATGCACATTTGACATTTTCTAAGGTAGCAATCAAGATGAGGCAAAACAGAGAATGTTCTAGATTTCAGTGTGTTTTACATTTACACCTAACGTGATACAAAATTTTAAACATTAAATGTAATTAAATAATACACAGTTTATAAAATAGTTGATTTCAGGGACCCATACTGCACAAAATCTAGTTAGAGTCTAATGGGAGTTCCCAATAATTTATATCGCTGGGATCTTTATGGAAAACTTGAGTTGGTATGTAACATCATATAGGCAAAGTAAGTTTGAACTGAATTATTTTTTTTTTCCTCTGTACAGAGCTGCATTCAAGTGGATAAAACATTATTATGTTTATTTATGTTTCCCTTTGCTGGACATTCGTCCAATAAGCCTTGAACATATGCTTAAGCATTTGTTAATGACATTTTGTGGGGCAGGGAAACTCCCTATCTATATCCCTCAGTAAACAAAGTGGTTCTATTTTTTTCCATAATTAAGGCAACTATACTGATATATTAGACACACCATACACTTTTATGTTGCTTCCTACAATCTAAATAGTAAGAGTGAAAAGAAGTTTCAAACATGCTTTGAACTTCTTGATCACTCAGGAATTTCATCACGCTGGTAGAGAGTACTTCACCTGCTCTAGTGGGAGATGTTGCTGCTCATAGCAGGGGCACTGGGACTAGATGATCTTTAAGGTCCATTCCAACCCCTTAACATTCTATGAACTGTAGACACAGCTTGTTAGCTGTTCACTGAAAACATAAAGTATGGATTGGCTTGAATTTGAAGACTGACCATTCATATAACTTATCAGAAAAATTAAACAAACAAAACCAGCCAGTCAAATTCTTGCAAATGAAATCGATAAAAGCAGTAACACGCCCATACATAGTTTCTGTGTTTTCCATTACTTCTACCCCATAACTTAAGCTACTCAGATCCTTGTCACCATCCCCTCTGTATCTTGGGTGGGCTTTGCCAAAGGCTATCTCCAGATATTGTAAGTGATGACACTTGGTATCTGCCAACTCCAGCACAGCATTTCATATTTATTCTAACACACCACATAAACTAGAGAGCCATTTAGTTTTGTTTTCTGTTGGGTAAGACTGCAGGTATAAATGACAGAGAACAGAAGCAGTAGCACAGTGGCTGCAAGGCAACACAGCTACAGCAGACAATGCCACAGAACTGCCAGTGCTGCTAAAACAAGGGAGGGGCTCAGGGCTGGGCTGCTCCCACTTCCATTTACACTGTGTTTGGAGGATGATTTGACAGTGCTTCTGGTGGTTGTGGTGTCAATCTTTTTCACAGTTGGTTTTGGTTCGTTTCTGTTCTCTGGATGGGTTTTCTTGTCCTTGAGTATATCTGAAAACACAAAAGTAAATGTAAGATTAATCACAAATCTTTTAAACAGGGGTTTTAAGTTCTGTTGCTGGAACGTGTTGTATACTCACTCTGAACAACTGAAATGTGTATAGCAAGTGATGGGGCACTTGCACTAATGTTGCATTTGGACCCAGTGTGGCTCCTCTGTCCTCAGCACCCACCGCTCTGCTCAGCAAGTCTTCTCTGACTGCCTGGCTCTACTTGGCTACTCACAGACACTGCCTAAGCAGAATAACAGGTATTCTGCATTGCAGTGGCTGCTCTCAGAGCCTGACCTTCTCTCACGAAAAATACCTTCGGTTTCACCTGGGATGGGAAGTGTCTCATGCTTTAAAACACCATGTTACAACTGAGTGGTTTAGTAACAGATCCCAGTGAAGCAACTGCCAAGCTGGTGAGATGGTGCCAGAGGAGACTGGAAAGTATATGGACTTAATAGAATCATAGAAAGGATTGGGTTGGAAGGGACCTTAAAGATCTTCTAGTTCCAACCCCCTGCCACGGGCAGAGGTGCCAACTGCTATCCCAGGTTGCTCTGAGCCCCACCCAACATTGCCTTGGAACACTTCCAGGGATGGGGCAGCCACAGCTTCTCTGGGCAACCTATTAGGGTGCCTCAGCACCCTCTGAGTAAAGAACATCCTCCTAGGATCTAAACTAATCTTTCCTCTTTTTGTTTCAAATCATGCCCGTGTAAAGAGTTGTTCCCCCTCCTTTTTGTAAGTCCCCTTCCAGATGCATTTTGGGGCAATTCCACCCATTTTTATATAAAGGACTGGATTCAGAAGAAAGTAGGAGTAGTTCTTTATTGTAAAAACATGGATTTTTTTTTTTTAATGACAAAAGGATTAGTCTCCAGTTATCTAAACATTCCCAAGATATTTGCAAGTATTACTGAGATCATATTGCCCTTGAACCCTCTCACTGGCATTGTGGAGAATGAAAAAAACCCACTATATCATCTGCTGAAGGGATGACAATTTTACAGTCAGTCTGTAAAAACACACCTGAGTTTTTGGCAAAAAACAAATGCCTACCTGGAAGAATTTATAATTAACAATAAACGTTCAAGTCCAAGCTTAAAGAATTTCTGATACTAATGAAAGCAGTGCACATACACAAGAAAGCAAAAGGCATAGATTTGTAATGCAGATGAAAAAACAGTCCAATCTTAAAATAAAAACTCTGAATCACAGAAGCAAGTTCCTGGCAGAAATTGGAAAGATGGAAAGTACTCCAGAAATGTAAATGCAATCTGAGATCATTGTCTGCATGTCACTAGTTCTGAACAACCATCAATAAATTCACTTGGTAATAAAAATGAGCTATTGTATTGGGAAAGCACACATTGTTCTTCCGCCAGAATAAATTGCAAAAGAAATGCAATGGATTCCTCCATTTTATCATAATATCAACATTAATCCCAGAGGAATGTGTGATTCCTAGACCTCACTCAAGAGGGACTGCAGGGAAGGGACACTGGCTGGCAAGGGATACAGTGGAAAAAGAGTAGCCTGACAGTGCACTCCAAATTCCTTATGGCAAAATGTGTCTCTAGCTCCTCTTTGATTCCAACCTGCAATGGAGCTAACAGAAAGGAGGGGGAGAAAAAGCATGCTCCAAATGTTTAGAAAATATCAGTATTCTGAGGACATTTAAAGAAAAATGGACAACCTTCAGACTGTCATTAAAGTAAATTAAGAATAAATCATGGAAATAGGTGTGTTCTGACACTGCCCAGAGTCCTTTCCATCACTGTCATTCTCCTTTGCAACTGCAGTAAAGGTGCTATTTCTCTGCTGCCTCTTCTATCATCCTAGCCTGCTGACTTCAGCTCTCTAGGGCCAGCTGATTAAATTAAGACCTCACTCAGGTAAATCTATTCCCCTCCTTGGGCTGGCCATATCCAGCATTGTAACTTGATTGGCATCTATAAATTGGGTAGACTGAAATGTATTAATTCATTTATTTTCTTACTATTGACTTAACAAAAAATCTAAGGTAAGATTTAATGCTATCAGAGAGGCTGTTGGTTTTTAAAAGCTTTCCTCTCAGTGACTGCTTAATGCACTGCCTAACAAGTGTTAAATAATACATTAGAAAACTCTGCCTTTATCTTTTCCAGGGAAAGGACCGCATTCTGAATTCTCTCTCTGTCTTCACAGCAAAGTATCTTCCGATGCTATTCATGGCCAATTTTCATCGGGCATCTAATTGTGCAAACCTGGAATTTTATTTAAAATGTTCTGTTTTCTCCTTTCTTAAAACTAAATAAAAATAGCCCAACTTCTAGTCAAAATCTTTTTCAATCCTATATTTATTTTTTAAGGCCCAAATTTTAGCAGTGTAAAGAATTCATGTTTTATTCCAGTTTCCTCAGAGTTCCTGTTGCTTACTCACTCCAGGATTTTGGCTGAGAAACTCTGAGTTAAATGAGTTTTTCCCCTTAAATCTTTTTCTGAGTCAGATATAGGTAAAGTTCAGTCTACTGCTGACATTCAGAAGGCAAAAAATAGTGATCATGCTGGGAAAAAATAAAGTGTCAGTGTGACGACTAGCACAGAAATGAAACTCCAGTCTCAACAAAGCGAACCCCAGATGTTCAGCACTCATGAATGCAGCCCACAGAGTATGACTTCATAAAAACAACCAACCAAATCCCACAGCTTTGATCTGTTCTAGTATTTACTTTCTGCATTTTAAAGGCTTTATGGTTCCCAATTAGAAGCTTTCTCCATTGCTAGAAACTTCCTTTCACCATCAGTCCCTCTCTCCTTCCCAGAAATGGAGTGGTTAAAATCTCTGAAGGTGCCAGCTAACCTCAGGCTGACACATGTGATGGCCTTTTGGATGCTGGCAGATGAATATTATTCTATGCTGTTTATTTATCACTGCAATGTGATGGTGACACAGCCACTGCAGTAGCTACTGTGCTGTTCCTCATCCAGGCTCCCAGTGCGAATATTCAAATCCTGCCAAAAAGGATACTTAGTGAAGGCAGCTGACTGCCAAAGCAGCCTTTTGGGACTCTTGCTGAGGACAAGGTCTGTTGAGTCAGAGTTCCTCCTGGCCCCGTGATTACTCTGAGCACAGGGAACAACAGCTCAGCTAGTCCAGGGGATTGAGTCCACTTCCTCAGCTGAACTTTCATCCGTGTTAACTGCTGTTAAACTAATATCTTGACGGTATAAACAAAGCACATAATGAAAATTACTTGACCCCGCTCTTCAGAGCATTCAGGATTATCTTCACCTCAAAGATCTAACCACAGATTGCTACCCAGTAATGCATGTGCTGTTCTGATGGCACTGAACTACTCATAAATACTTACACGGATCAATACCGTTCCTCAGAGAGACCAGCTTAGGATGAAAGGGAGATCAAAACTGTCACTCTCATCTAATTTAGGAACAGGAAACCTCCCCTATAGTGAGGGCTGAGCATGCCTTTCAAATGCGTTTGGTGAGTCATACGTTAAAGCACACCTTAATCTTCGCCAGTAATGTTACAGGGGCGAAACAACATGATTATTTTTTAGATTATTACCAGGTTATCTGACACAAGTTCAAGTCATATTGACACCCCAACTGTTAGCTCCCCCCTCCTAGGCCAAATGATTTGCAGTTTGCTACTGCTGGGAATTATCAAATATGTAACTATTTCTTGGTGTACTTGCATACTGTTGCTCTCTAAGGAACAATATCAGCAAGGTCTGTTTTAAACTATTTATGTTTCCGATGGTCCTGCCAAGGGATGACCAAACCTCTTTCCATTGTTGTCCTTCTCTTGATCTGACTTGAGTTCAGCCCTTTCTCTGCGACTGTAAACAATCAGTGTGAGGGAGCCTTTCCCTGCAAAGATCTGCCAGTGCCACTGGACCCTCCTCATCTCCTGAGACATGCCCAGACATGTCCATTGAGATGAAGCATAAATGCAAAGACTCCCTGCTGCAGACAGAGAAAGTACTTGTGGAGCAAAGGAAAAGAGCAAGAAGGGAAGGGCAGGTGAATTGGCTGATCTCCCACCGAGGAAGTAGGATCAGTTTTGGAGAAACCTGTGTTTGAGCTGTCCCAGCACCCTTAAGATTCAGCCCTTTTTGCCCTCCCCGTCACACCGAGCAGAGGGTCTCTGGCAGACCCTACTTTGTAGAGCAGGGCCAAGGCACCAGTGCCTGGGGAAGAACCTGCTGGGGCCCCAGTACTTGCTCCTCCACCACTGCCATTGTCACTGACCAACAGCTGTGCTGCCTGCATCCATCTAAGGCTACAGACCTTCTTACCAGACAAGTGTACAGCCCCTGGCAGGGGATGCTGAATAAAAACAAACCAGAGAGGTCTGCCAGACTAGTCTTGTAAATGTTAATTACAGCAGGCTGGTTTCTAATGGAGTGGCGCACTGACAGCAGCAAATCCATGCTCATCAATCCACCATGCCCATATCAAAGAGGGGATTCTGAACACGTTTCCATCAGTTTTACACCATGAACTTCTAGGGAGAACTTCCAACCCAGCTATTTGGGGAGACAAAAGAAGGGGAGATTGTTTATTTCTGCTTTTCCACATTAATTACATCAAGTCAGGCCTGTCTATTTCTTCCTAGATTTTCATGCAAACACCGTGCTTTGAAAAGACATAATGTCAGCATCTACGATAGCAAATTAATGCCTTGGTCTTGAATGCCTAATCATGGTTGTAATGATACTCATAATGCAGGTTTAAAGTGAACTGGTCAGCACCTGCAGTTCTCTCCACACTGGAACTCAGTTGCTTGATAAATTTCCCTTCGATCACAGGCTTGGGTTTGGCTGACAGCTTCATAAGAAAATTAAAGCTAGGTGCAACTTGGTGGAACAGGCTCTTAAATTACAGTAGATGCTGCAGTGTTATTATTAGCTTTTTATCACCTCTGGTAGCAAAAGCTGAAATTACTTTTACATATTCAAAGGAAGAAGCTCTGAAACAAAACAAAGCTGTCGCCAT